TCCCCTCTTAGCCCTTTGGGAAAAAAAGACAAGCACACACGTTGAAATGTCCCCCAGGTTCTATTTCCTCCTGGAGAGAAGAGATGGCTGAAGCCCTGGGGGCAGCCAAAGAAGAAACTTACCTTCTGGAGATGACCTTCTCGGGAACTGTGCTTGCTAGTGTTTATTTAAGCGTAGCTCTTGCTTCGTATTTAAACCTCACTCGCATGTCAGGAAACTCCGAGGCAGAATTAATGGATTCAGAGGATCTCTTCATCCCATTTTCCAGTCTGGACACATTGAACAAATCTTCCGTTTCTGCTTTTCATCATTAATTTGGCACCTTTAGTTGCCTTATGGAGGAAGGATAGCCGAATCCGTAATTCTGGTAATAATAGCTTTAAAAGTGGGAACGCGCAGAATGTTCATAGAAGCATGTCTGGTATCTTCAAGCAAATAATGCAAAAGAAGAAAATAGCCTTTTCTGAATGAGAACTTGGAAGAGCAGGAAGGCCAGGGCCACAGTTCTCTGCAAGAGACTGCCAGTGTCGGAAAGGAGGGCGAGGTCTTCTGGGAAGGAAAAGTATATTGTCTTTTTAAAGAAATGATTCCTCTCCCTTCCCCATTCCATAGTTTGGTGTGTAGTGCCTTCATCCTGGGCTAGACACAGATCTCTTAGACTCTGTTCTTTTCACCAGGAGAAAATAGTTTTGTCTTAACTGACTAGTGAAACAAGAAAATGCTATCGACAAAAAAAATAATCTTCAAATATTTACTGAGGACCAGTGTGTGGCTATCAGGGCTACCTAGCATAAAAACAGCCCAGAGGGAGATAAGGAAAATATGAAAATCCAAATCTTCAAGCAATCCATAGCAGGGAGTTAAAGCTCAAGAAAGCAAAACAAAGTCCCAGATGCACAGAAGACAGGTGTAGCCAGTGTACCATGCTATGAGTAGGCACAAAGGCTAGAAGAACCATGCTTTGACACAGGGCATGACTCCAGTCCAGTTTGCATGCACATGGTAGACTGTGAAAAGCTATATCCTTACTTTGGGAATCAATGTTATAGTATCAGGAAGGCTTCCCCAGGGAGGAAAGAACTAATGTAACCTGGAAAATTATCTGTCTAGAATAGTGTCATGTGCACAAAAGTGGCAGACATTTTAAAAAACAAGAGTTTAGACTAGAGTTTGTTTAATACACCAGAAAAACAGGAAATATTAGCGATTATCAACCAAACAGTATCAAGGAAAACGCTGAGGTATTCACTGAGACTGGCACTGCTCTCAATGACAACTTTGAAAAACTTTGTAAAACATTTCCCAGTATGACAATGAGTATTACTACAGCAACAGAATGGTGGACCTCATGGCCTCTAAGGAGTAAGAACACAAGAGGAAGAGAGAGGTCCTCAGCTGCTGGGGAGTCCCTGTACCAACTCAGCCCCCAACACCAAGGGTGCTTATTTCTCATATTCATCTCCCCTCCCAGTTCAATCCCAGACTCCCATAAGAAGGTAGAACCCTAATCTCTTGAATATATTTACTGCATACATACCCCCAAAGAAAAACAGCTTGTTTGAGTCACAGGTGTAGAGGTTCCAGGGCACTGTACCAGTGTCTGTGCAGCTATGATGAAGGCTTTTGCCATGACAGATGGTATCCCAATGGCAGGCACACATACGGGAGGAAGACATCCCATGGCAACAGAGGAAGCCAGATTAATATGGGGGTGGTATTCATGACTTTTCAACCAGCTTCAGCCCTCTTTTGTCATTACTCGGAGGTCTATTCTCCCAGGTTGTGAAGCCTAGAGGAACATACTCAAACCACAGCAATTACTCAGTTGCCCATACAATCCAGACATTCTGTTCCCAGAGAAATGAAAACATATGTATCCATATTACAACTTGTCTATTCTTGTTCACAATAACATTATTCATAATAACTATAAAACAGAAACAACCGAACTATCCATCGACCAAAGAGCAGTAAACAAAGCATGACATATGCACATAATGGGAATGAAGTCAGTCATTACTGGAACAAGATACTAACACATGCTACATGAACGACCCTTGAAAATACACTGTATTCACTACTTTTTCATTTCTCTTCAGGAAGGGTTGGTTTTGCCTTTAGATCTGAAAGCATATAGCCTAGTTTGGCAGGGTTGAGAAGGCAGGGAAATGTGAGGAGACTGGAAACATGGCATCTGCGAAGTGGAACCAGAAAGAATTAATGTCTGATACCCGTCTTGCTCTCTCCATTATTTCTTTGTTCAGTCTTAGGACCCCAGCTCATGAGATGACTCCAGCCATATTCAGAATAGGTCAAGATGGAAAAATAGGATAACTTTATAGAGACAGGAGAAAGGAAAGGAGTCCTCTGTCCCCCGAATCCAGTTGAAGCCTCTCATGAGAAAAGAAGCAAGAATTTCAGCATTAACACATGTTTAAGGCCTTTTTCCTCTTCAGCTGTATGTAACCTGAAGTGCTCCAGAAATTTCTTCAGAGAAACCCCATTTACAGGAAAAAGCTATGTTCCAAGCTCTCCCTGTACAACTGTAGTCGCTTCTAATTTTATTAGATTGTATTTCTGTCCAAGGCATCCCCAGAGCCACCTCACTTGTCAAAAAGAGAAAAAAGAAGAGGAAATTTTCTTAGCTGCTCTTTGAGATGTGACTTGATAGCTGTCAAAATGGCATATTATATATGGCTACTGCTCAGACAAGCGATAGCTTGCTCTTCTTGAGGTCCGCACCTGAGTGTGTCTTACTTCCTACCTCTTCTTGGACAAGTGTGCACCCAGCCTCTCAGGTGTGTCTGAGCACCTCTTGCTCTCAACCCTGTATCTAAAACAGTTTATTCAGGTCATATTCCAGCCATGTTTCATGTACTGTCTAATCCTGAAACTCTGGTCTACAGCAAACACATGAATCCTGGCTTGCCCACAGTCACAACAAATGAAGGGAATGCAGGTAGATTCACAGTACTCTGTGTTGCCACTTAAATGCAAAGGTTAAAGCAATAAAAGCAGCAGGACATAGTGACACATGCCTGTATTTTCAGCACTTGAATGGCTTGTGAGTGTGATATGAAGATATCACATGGGATGAAGAAAAGCCTGCTTCAAGTCCACTCCACCTTCACAAAGGAATACTGTAATGGAGTTGAAGCTTTCTGAAACTAAATTATTTATGCTCAGGTGGAATGACTATTTAAGGAATTACAATATTGAAATACCATTTGAATTTTTAATCTTGCTCTTCGTTATACATTTTTTTTAGCATTTTTTCAATATTCTATCTCAAAAACAAAAGCCTTCATTTTTGAGGGGGAGAAGCACTTCACAAAACATCTGGAAGTTGTTCACAAAACACCGTTAACTAGATACAAAATGAACCAATGTGTTGTAAGTTACAGGGGAAAGACTTGGGGATTTTTTTTTTCTTACTATCGTAAAAGTTCATTGATGAAAAACATTAATGCTGAAAATAGCCATGGTCCAATGTTTGTAGCAAGATCAAACAGATCCTTTGGGAGAGACCTGGATTTCTTTTGATGAGCCATCATGCTCACAGCAGGGTTGCCAATGCACGGTACCAACTCCTGGCATTACCACCAAGCCAGTGTTTACTGCTTGCCATCTCCATACAATCATCTGTCACATGGTCGTGAAAGGTCCCAATTCTGTCACTATTCCTTGGATATCATGGTTGGCACGTGATAGTAATGCTGACTTCTGACCAAACTTTTCTTCAACTCAGCAGAGTGAGCTTCACTCATGGCTTCTCAATGGCTCAGAGCTACCTTAAACAGATTTTGTGGTCTCCTCCACAATCTGTGGAAAATACAACTGAAATAAAAAAGTACAGAGCAGTCAGGATACAGCAAGCACTCAGTAAGTACCTCCTGAATGCTTTCAAATCCAAACACATGGTAGCAACAAAGCTGAGCCTCCCAGTAATCGATGTGTCATGAATATAGGCTTATCTTTAGAATACCTTCTGTTGAACTGACAATCTTAGTAAATAAGAGACCTCATATTACACAGAGACCTTAACAGTTTTTCTCTGGCTCATCTACCATGGCTGACATGTCACTGGCAAGAAGTGACATTTCAAGAGGAAATGAAAGATGCTCAAGTATTTTCACCTTCAGGTCTTCTGAAACTGAATTTTTTTCAATTATTTGGATAACTTTAATCCTGTGCAAAAGATGAAAATCCTATTATTTAAAGATCACATTACTCTAGGAAATTTAAATCAAGAAAAGCTAACAAGTCAAATAATCGATAAGTTTGTTTCATCCCATTTCCTCTTTTTCATTTGAAATAGGCTCTTGCATATAGCCCATGCTTGTCTTGAACTTGCATATTGCCTTGAACTTCTGATTCTCCAGCCATAGTGTCTTGAGTGATGGAGTTGCAACAATCAAGATGTTACACTATACGTGCATAAAATGTAGTGATTGTAGCTGAGTAACTGCACACACTACATCAAGTATTTATCATTATCTCCCAACATTGGGAATAGTCAAAAATCTTTGCTACTGAAATACACAATTTTGAAATGTACAATTGTGGAAAAATATACATGAACTGTGGGTAGCCATAGGGC